AATGTGCTCAAAGTGACCGTGATATTTCAACACTTTCGTAATCCGATTTTTAAAGAATGTCTCTTATCAGTGCTGGTACACGAACATAGGCTATTTTTTTTATAACACAAAAAGAGTTTAATCCAAAAATAAGTTCAAATCTGAAAAAGTGCCACTTTCAGGAGAAAAATTTTCTTTGAATATTACAATGTGATTACGGTATCACTTCTTTCAATAATTGAATAGGACACAATGAAACCACAATGCAAACACAACACAACACAACACAACACTGTTAGCAAACGAAGAAACAATGATTGTTGAATGATTCAAAATAGAAGATAATGCGAACACAAAACACCATCTGACATCTAAAGAGCATGAAATAATGTTAAAAAAGCAAAATAATTTTTTATAACTAATACTTCTAAAACTTTAGAAGTATAACGGTTTCATCATATTTTAGTGTCATGTAGATTCTTTTTTATACGAAGTGACGAGCAGAATTTAAGATTAAATCGATTGAAAAATAGACGATTTCTCTTTAACAACAAACTTGTTACTCGAACATAACAACGTTAAAAAATAATAATTATTTCGATTATTGTCCCTCTCGAAACCATTCAATTTTTGTCGAATATTATTTTGCCACACATTTTATTGACATAATTAATCGCAATAGAAAATGTTTCAATTTCTAATCTTATGTATACTAAGAAAACATACATAAATACGTAAAATGTGTCAAATGACGGAACATATCCAACGTTAGTACCTCGTTTATCAAAACACGCTGAAGGACAAAAGCGTTCGGATAATCGACGAGTTCGGATTGCTCTACTAGCTTTCTCCATAATTTACTCTTATTTAATTAAATAGTAAAATATAACAAAAGCGGATAACAAAAACTGATTAATTATGAGCGCGTATATCCAAAACTTAAAATTAAATGATTCCTATAAACGAGATGCAGAGAAACGAGATTCCACCATGCAAAAATCCGCTGTGTAATTCAGTGATCACTGGATACGTTAAATATGTACATGTGTACATATATACATAGATTGGGTAAAACGAAAAGTAATGTCGTTTTTTTTTTCCTTGAGTTGAAACCAATTGTCGTGCAACTGCGCCGATTAGTACGTTAGAACGTTAATTGTTGGTATTATTTTGAAGCTCTGTTCATACTGTTACTGTTTCCATTTCATCCTTTTTATTTCTATAAACAGTAAAAATATCAAGACCAAAGATCGAAGAGGTGAAGTTGCGATATATTTTGTTACTTTTGTTTGATGAATGATTAAATTCTGGAGAAGCTATAAAAAATGTTGATGAAGCTTACGTCGAAATCTTGAATATCAGTAAATGGGAACAGTGGTTCAAACAATTTAAAAACGGCGACCGAAATCTTAAAGATAAGCCGAAATCTGGGAGGCCACAAACGACGACGACAACGATAACGACGTGTTGAAATCATTGGTGGAATCAAATCCGCGCAAAACCATTAAGGAATTGTCGCAGGATATCGGCTGTCCCTGGTCGACAGTAAAAGATCATTTAAAAAATCTCGGCAAGGGGTTTGTGTTCCGCACGATCTATCGCCGTCCGCTTTAGATCAGAGAGTGACAATTTCTTCTCCGCTGTTGACCAGGTAAGAATCCAATCCGTTTCTGGAAAAATTGTTACCGGATGCGAAAAATGGATTATTTACAGCAATCCACATAAAAAAAAAACAATGGCTTTGCCCAGGTTTTACCGGTTTCACCTGAACCATCTTTGACATTAAAAAAGATTCTTTTATGGGTCTGGTGAGATATTTCGAGTGTGATCCATTATGAATTATTAAAATCTGATCAGTCTATCACATCAGAGATTTATTGTGCGCAATAAGAACGACTAAAAGCTTACTATAAGTAAAAAAACGATCCCTTCTGTGAATAAATAACGACGCATCTTGCAACAAGACAATACGTGGCCGCATGCAGCGAAAATTTAAAATTTCGGTCGCCGTTTTTAAATTATTTGAACCACCGATTACTTTTACGGATATTTAGGATTTCGACGCAAATTTCATTAACATTTTTTGTAGTTTCTTTGGGTTTTAATACTTTATGAAACAAAATACACCGCAACTGCACCTCTCTTTGATCTTTGGCTTTGACATTTTTACTACCGGTGAAAATAAAAAAAATGAAATGAAAGCAGTAACAGAATGAATAGAGCTTCAAAATAATATCTACAATTAACGTATTTAATCGTCGCAGCTGCACGACAATTAGTTTCAAAATGACACAAAAAAAATCACATAATTTTTCACGTTATAATATTCTCTTTACAATATCGCCTCATATATACACCGGTGCGAAGAAGCGCGTACACAGAAATGTACACAAGACATACACAACGTCATTAACGACAGTAATAGTAGTAAAGAAATTGGGCTGTAATTGAGCGATAAAAGCTACCTCTCTGCAGATATCATATCGTCAACATACGTATTACATAAAGAAACGTACCATGCCTTATTCAGTAGACCCGTACCTGCCAGGTGTGATACATGAACACGAGAACGATGAAGCGCAACATCACCAGCCCCTTCTTCGTTCTGTGCGTCTTGTGCGTCGCCGAACACACGGAATGTTACAGGATCCTAGCAACCATAGCGGCACCGTCCTACAGCCATCAAATACCGTATCGAGCATTATGGCTGGAGCTACACAAACGGGGACACAAAGTGGTGCTTGCCACAACGAATCCCATACCGAACATCAATTCACCGAATTTTACGCAGATCGACATCAGCTATGCATATGAAATCGTTGACACATTCAGCTTCATTCAATCCAGATTCAACAGGAAACCATGGCTACAATTAATAGAAGAGCAAGTGAAATTCAGCGTCATTTTCGCGGAAAACATATTCAACAATACGGAATTCAAGAAGATTTACGCACCAGACAGCGACGCGAAGTTCGACATCCTTCTAACAGAATACATCTACTGGCCCGCTATAGTCGGTATTGCTCATCGGTTTAACGTTCCCATAATAGGTATTTCTTTAAATCATATTTCATTTTATATTATAATTAAATCATATTCATAGTCATTCGAGATCATAATTCAATTTGTACAGTGACGGACAACACCGTTTTCACGTAGTGCAATGA